ACAACAATGAACACACAATGAACTGGAGGAGACAGGGATGAAAGATGTTATGGTCGACCCGCGTAACTGAATCAAAATCCAGCAATCACCCGTGATACGTACTCTTGGAGAAGATCTCGACGGGATTGCCGTCGAACGGCCAGCCCTTGAACTGCCACGCCGGTCCCATCACGAAGACTGCGACCACCCTCTCCCAGTCGGCGTTGGTGAGCTTCTGCGGATTATCGACCACCCGGTAGGGCACGGTGAGCCCGCCCTCCTTGCGACGTTGCAGCAACACCTCGTTCTCCCGCTTGCAGCCCTGGCCGCGCTTGTCCTCGTTGCTGACGTACTTGAGATCCTGCAGTATGTCCTTGGCGTTGTACATGGTGATGAGCGAGGTGTTGGCGCTGGGAATGATGATGATGGGGGTGCGGCTCGGCCGTTTGTTCTGCGCAGCCTGCTGCGCCGTCAGCTTCGCGGCGGAGGTCGGCAGCAGACCGCCGGAGGAGGAGTTCTGCGCGTTGCCGGTGCCGGAGGACGGATTGTTGCTCGCCGCTGGTTTCCTCACGGAGGCCGGATTCGTGCCCTCGGTCACCGATTTCAGGGTCATACCGTGATACGTGCCCATCGTGTCGATCTTGAAGCCCTCCGTCTCCTCCTTCTGCCGGATGAAGCGTTCCTGATCGTAACGATTGTAGACAGCTGGCTGCGGCAGCGGTCGCATCGGCGTCGAGCGTGGCGTCACCATCGGCGTGGGCACGGCCGGACCGCCCCCCTTCTGCCTGCCCTCCTCCCGCGCTTTGATGCTCTGCAGGATCGCGAAGATGTTCTTCGCGAAGATCTTCCCGCTGCTCTGCAGTATCGTCGCGCGCGTCCGCCACTGGCGTTCGCGCGACACGATGTCCTTCGTGTCGTCGACGTCCATGTCGAGGATCACCCGGAGATCCGAGCCCATGCCGATGTCGTCGTTCTCCTTGATGGTCGTGCGCTTCTTCGCCAGCCGTTTCGCCTTGATCGCCGCGATCTTCTCGACCGACATCGCCTCCGACAGGGATTTGATGTTGTCGACCGTGACGGAGGCTTCCTTAGGCGCGTCCAGCCGAGCCGCCAGCTGCTCCTTCACCTTCTGCACGTGGGTCTCCTCGAAACGCGGCTTCTTCGACGAGCCGCTCTCCAGGCCGTCCTCGGCGGCGCGCTTCACCTGCGTCGGGATCTCCAGCGGCGCCGACTTGTCGATGGCCGCCGACGTCGCCGTCTCGCCGTTGAGATACGCCAGCAGGTCCTTCCGGTCGGGTCGGCGCACCACCGGGATGTTCTCCGCCGCCGCCTGGCGCACGTAAACCGGATGCGTGAGCTGGACATGCTTGAGCAGGAACAGGAGACACTCGAGCGTGTAGTATTCCTTCGGCGTGCCTTCCTTGCCGGATCTGAAATCAACCA